CAGACCTCCTATCAGACCTCCTATCAGACCTCCTATCAGACCTCCTATCAGACCTCCTAACAGACCTCCTATCAGACCTCCTATCAGACCTCCTATCAGACCTCCTGGTGCGCCTCCCCACTCTCCTCCTGCTGCATCTTACCTTAAACGACCTGAAGTTCTGCTCATTATCTAACAGTTGTTGCTCTGCAGTTAATTCCTCTGCGTCCTTGTGGGTGTTTGCTAAACGAAGATTCATGTGAGAGACTCTGGTCTTTTCAGGGTTGTTGCTCAAAGGAATTCATGAGAGAAAGAGAAAGCAGAACAACGTGCTGCTTTGTTCAGGTACAAATAAAGAACGAATGTGAGGACAAAGATGGATGAAAAGTTAAGAAAACCTCGGCTCTCAGCAGCTGTCTGCCTCTGTCTCTGAGCCTCTGCACAAACAAGACATGAAAACACACCAAACGTTTCCAAAGAAACCAATAAAATACCAATAATAAAAATAATTTAAAAAAATTTAAAAGTTATGAAAATAAAAAAATAACCAATTTTTAAAAAACTAAAAAATGATCAAATAATTATGCTCAAATTTGAACTATGTGTTCATATTTTGCCTGGAATCCCTCAAATTAAAGCACTAGTGAGCACTTACTAAAAACCACAAAGAACTCAGTTAGTTTTAAAATCTCAGTTTTACACACATAGGAAAATTCTCTATTTATTCATGTTTTTTTTCACTTTTTCTTTTGAAAATAAAAAAACAAAGGATACAATGAAAATTAAAGAAAATAAAAAATACACACAATTTCTTTTTTTTTCTTTTTTTTACAGTAGTTATAAAACAGACAACATGAGAACAACATAAATCATCCAGCAACTATTTTGTAACAAAAATGGTCCTTTTTCTAACAAATGTGTTGGATAAAGTATCAGGAAGCAGCCAAAAAGAAAGCTTTGCTCCTCTTTAATAAGACTTTTTCTCCTCTTTCCCTCTTCCTCTCATTTGACTTTACTGATAAACTAAATGCTCATTTGCTCATTAGTTTAGTTTGGTTGTTTCTGTTGCTGATTTGGGGTTCATTTAGGGCCCTGCATTGTTTAGTTGATTATTCTGCATTTGTTTGCACTTTTTGGGCCAAATAAGCTCCTTTTTTTCCAAATCAAGAACACTATGGAAAGCCCTGATAATCCTCCT